AAAATCAATTTCTTGCCAATCATTGCAGTGTTTTTGTGTCATAAAAATCAATATAAAAACATTAAACATAATTAAAATCAATGATAAACTCCTATAAGTGTTGAGAAACACTACAAAAACATGTATTAAATTGAATGCTAAAAGCAAAACAAAAATCACTGTATTTTTCAATGCAATACAAAATACACACAAAATTCATCGCAAAAATGAAATGCCATTTAATTTAATCATAAAATACACAATACATTACATAACACAACAAACCTATCGTTAAATTCAATACAATTAACACTTAAAACAGTAAACAATTAACAGAAAACACAGTAAAGAAAAACTAATTATAAAATAAACACAAAAAACATTACAAAATCAAAAGTGGACTCAAAATGAACGGCAAATCCATTGGAAGTGAAAGTGATTTCACAATCAATGAAAGCAAACCTCAAAACCAGAACTAAAGCCAAAACAAAAGCCAAACAATCGCTTACTTAATGAGACGACGAAATGTCTTGAGATGTGTTTAAAGCGGGTCTTCGAGTGATAATCAAATCAATTCAAAATTGTAAACCAATTCAATCAATACAATCGCTATTGTGTTGTGAATACAACTCTATTGGAAAGTGTGGGCAAAATGTCTGACCATTGCATACAATGCTTAACGCGATTGTGAGGGAGAAGTAATGGGCGGAAAGGGATATCGCCCTACAAAACGCCGTATTTAACACATTTGGCCACAAATAACGTAACACTTATATAACGCATATCAATGTGTATTCGCTATGAGGGGTACTAAACGTATGGCACGTTAGTTATGGCATTGACTCTCGCATTACGAGTCAATGCAAACACAATGAAGTGTATGGATAGCCATAGGGCGCGACACCTATTGGCCGACACATACATAACGTTTCGCTCATTATTATTGGCATTGAATTGAAAAACTCAACCAAAAAACAAAACAAAACTTTGCCATCAAATCGCCGACGGAAACAATGGCCACATAGTGTCCACCGATCGCAAGAGTTGATCCATACAGAGACGATCTCTCATTGGACGCGCGGACACACTCGAAGACAATGTCGGGCAACTCACCGGTGGTGTACTTCTACGACCCGGAGGTCGGTAACTTCCACTACGGTCCCGGACACCCGATGAAACCGCAGCGGTTGGCGGTCACCCACTCTCTGGTCCTCAACTACGGCCTCTACAAGAAGATGAACGTCTATAAGCCCTATAGAGCCTCCTATCACGACATGTGCCGCTTCCACACCGAAGAGTACATGCAATTCCTACAACAGGTGACGCCTGGAAATGTGGCCGAATTCACCAAATGTTTGTCCAGTTTTAACGTCGGCGACGACTGTCCCGTCTTCGAGGGTCTGTACGACTTCTGCAGCCGTTACACCGGCGCCAGCCTTCAGGGCGCCGCTATGCTCAACAACAACCAGTGCGATATCGCCATCAACTGGTCCGGCGGTCTCCATCACGCCAAGAAGTTCGAGGCCAGCGGTTTCTGTTACGTGAACGACATCGTGATCGCTATACTGGAACTGTTGAAACATCACCCGAGGGTTCTCTACATCGATATCGACATACATCACGGCGACGGCGTTCAGGAGGCCTTCTATCTCACCGATCGCGTGATGACCGTATCGTTTCATAAGTACGGGAACTACTTCTTCCCGGGAACCGGCGATATGTACGAGACTGGGCTCGAGAGCGGCCGCTACTACAGCCTCAACGTACCGCTCAAAGAGGGTATCGATGATAACTCCTATGCGTTTGTCTTCAAACCGGTGATCACTGAAGTGATCAAATGCTTCCGGCCGTCGGCTATTGTGCTGCAGTGCGGCGCCGACTCGTTGGCCTCCGACCGGTTGGGATGCTTTAACCTGTCGTTCAAAGGTCACGGCGAGTGCGTTAAGTTTGTCAAAGACCTAAAGCTACCGTTGCTTGTGTTGGGCGGCGGCGGTTATACCCTCCGTAACGTCGCCCGCTGTTGGACTTATGAGACCAGTTTACTGCTCGACGAGACCATCAGCAATGAGATCCCGTATATGGAGTACTTCGAGTACTTTGGCCCCGATTTTACCCTATTGTCGGATAAGGGCAGTAACGATAACCCGCATAACGCCAACTCTCGAACCTATTTGGAGAATATACTGAAGTATGTGTCGGAGAACCTGAGGAATATAGAGCACGCGCCGTCCGTACAGATGCACTACACGCCTCCCGATTGGTTCGATGGCACCGACACCACCGCTGGTCATCAGTTGAGCGAATCCGAGGCCAACAATGAGTTTTATGACACTAAAGACGAGAATAAGGAGAAAGACGTCTCCTGTAAAAAACCCGATAATAATGAGAAGTGATTGACTGATTGTTTGGTTAATGGTTTATGTAATCGTGTTTTTTAATTGTTTATTGATTTGCTTTTT